GCGCACACGGTCATCAAACGGGCCCAGCAGCAGATACTTATCCTGCGTTAGATGAGGAGACTGTATCGAGCAAGAAAGTTGTTTTAGAAACAAACCAGTTGCTCTTGGATCCTGCCATGTTTATGTCTTGCTACTGACGGAGGAAGTGCGTCACGTTGATATAGGGCATACCTGTGCAGTCAGGTTTAGTTTTGCCCCAACAGAGAGTCACGGTCGGAATAAGTGTTTACATGGACGCAGTTCGGAATAACGATCGGCACAAACCATTCCTCTCGATGGGAATACAATTCCTTTCTGATTGGGCCGAATCAAATCAGAATCTTCTGATTGACATGTTTTTATTCCAATCAGACCTTTGTTCTGATTATTTGTACCCATGTAAACGCAGCTATAGTGTTATACAGTACAGTCCATGCAATACAGACATTATCCTCCGTATTAACATTGAATCTAGACTCAGGCTGCTGAGTGATATCCGCTTTCATGATTATTTTTACCCTCACCTGGAGCAACTTTTATCCTGTGCCAATCAAAGTGACCCCCTGCAGAAAAAGCATTACATCTCATATCTTTCTGATCTGGTCTTGAATGTGTGAACGTTGTTTTCCTGCCTCCCTGACACTGTGCTGAACTTTTATTATATGAAATTATTGGATTTTTTTTTCTAGCTTTAAACATTTAGCATTTTGAAATAATCGACCTTGCCAATGGTTTGGTTTGCTTTTGGGTTTTTAGAGAGGTATCAGTACTGATTTCAGTCTGCATGATCCACTCTTAAATATTCCTCACAGAAGCTTGAACCTTGAATTTCAAACTTTAATCTTTCAGTGAAATTTAGTGCAGAGCATGGCCTTCTGTAGTGTCAGGACAGTAATTCTTTAAATAATAAAATATAAATCAGGAGCCAGGCTGAAGGTGAAATTACTGAAGGTAAAAAAGAGATTATAATGATGTAAAAGAGGCTTTTCGGGCATTTGACTAAAGCAATTACAGGAGACTCGACACGCGCACTGATCTAATGTAAGTTATGTAAAAGCAAATGGGGCCGCTGTGCCAGCTCATTTTCTTCTCACTGTTTTATTGAGGAACAAACAATTTACTCAGTTTGCAATCATTATACACTGCAGGACTACACGACAGCCATTTTTATGAACAGACCGCAACATTTTCTGTTGAAGTCTCGTTTTTAGATGGAGAAACTCTACAACCACGTTGTTCAAACACACACACAAGAGGGGCGACATTATACCTGCACTTCTGGTCACCTTTGATTAGACTATTGGAGGTTATGAATCAGATTTAAACAAATACAGTGAGTGATAGTGCTCATGGGAAATGCAGGCTTTATTCATAGAACGACACTATACTGAAGGTAAACTCTGGTGATGATCAGAAAACCATAAAGAGAAAAGAATTGGTTTCTCATGGTATTAATTAGGAATTTAAAAGCCCGACGACCAGAAAGGCAATTTAACAGACAGCTCAACTGTATCTTACAACTCATGATCGATAAAATAATGACAATTTCAGTCATAATATTCAGAGCACACCAGGGAAAATAATACAAATCAATGTGACACGGAAAAATAAACATTTTCATGGACAAATTGACAGAAACATGAAACCAGAGCAAAAAACAACAACAGAACCAGAAACGATGAAATGTCGCTGCTTGATAGCTTTTCAGTCTGGTTATTGAACGGTATTTTATTTCAGAGCATGGGCTTTTATCTTTGGAGTGGAAAAACAATCAGCTGTCTAATTCACTTCATAAAAGTGTTGGGTTTGTGCCTGAATATATGCATGAAGAGCCACTTCAGCTTCTCCAGTCTCAAATCTTTATCTCTGTCCATTACAACCCCGGCACTTTAACTCCCCGCTATTTCTCGACAGAGGAGTAAAGAGATTGAGGACTGAGGCAAAACAACAAGTCAACAGAAACAGGGTTTCACTTAAACAGAAGTGATAGAAGAACCACGAAGACAAGCTTGTGTGATGAGTATGTTTAATAGCTTCGAAGGCTCGATCCACTCTGTTCGGATCAAAATCTTAGGACCTCGGAGAGCAGGTGACTGACGTTCTCTAAAAGGGTTATGATTACAGTGGCTAAAGGCTCATTTGGCTCGCCATACCGATGAAAATGTACATGTCTATTTCAAACGATGGTTCCGTCACTGCCCACATACTTCAACGCGTCCTTTACGTTGGCATGGATGTTAACCATTACATCCACCAGGGGGCATGCTGACAAACAAAAGGAAACATGGCGACCGTGAAGGAGCTAGTGATGACCTATATTTTGCATAGGAGACAGAAACGAAGGCAGCGTTGGAGGGGGCGGTGGTCGGTCGGGCCACTAACGGGCAATTTCCACCACATCCAAAATGGCGTCAAAAAGGTCGTATCCGCCGATCATAGCTGAACGTAACCATTCAAGTTAATGTATAAATTTCCACCAACTTCTTTCCATTTCGCTGCGGATCGCCGGACTCCGCAGCTGATCGCAAGAGTTGTATTTTTTTCTGGACTCCGGAGCATGCGGGATAAATTCAGCTCAGATTAACCCGTGCTGGAAACGAAGTCGGGCACAGACGCAAAATAAATCATCCGGCTTCTTGTGAAAGGTTTATAGATAGCATTTCACCCCGATGACACTATTGATAAGGAGATGCTGATTTTGTAGGTCTATACGTAGATTTCCTCCTCTGGAAGGACACAATCTACTGCTTAAATGATTAGCCTCTGTGGCTAAAGACAACTTGATATCACGCGATTGCACGTGAATCTGCGGGTTCTTGTGAGTTCTTGTGATTCCTGCTGTCCGTAATCCGCCACGAAATTCGCCTCACAAACGGATCCGGTAGGAATTGGCGTACGGCGAAAACTGCCACCGTTCCAGATTGGAGCCGTTTCAGATGCGGAGTAAACTCGGGTAAATGCCTTGCGGTTGCATTGCAGGAGGACGGAGAATTCTTTCCTCTGGTAGTACAGATGAGAAAGCCCAACCATTATCCTGGTAGTACTGCTCCGTCTAGCTCGCATCTCTAAACTTTAAGGATACGTGCTGAAATATGGATGAAAGAACATGAAGCAAGGACGAAGAGTTCCGTCCATATCCGGATTCGTATGTAACGTTGAGCATAAATGAGCCTCAAAGGGTCATAAACAACAGTGAACAAATGTCTCTGTAACTTTTAATGCCTTTCTTGTATTACGGAGGAAGATTGTTTCATAAGGTTGGAACAGAGACAGAAAAAAACTCACTGACTGTCACCTTTCTGACCGGAGGAACGACAGATGCTCAGCAAAGTGCTCATGCAAGCGCACATAGGTCCCCAAGGTCAGATTATGACCTTCTGTCATCTGCACAGCCTCACAGCGTGGGCAGATTGTCTGCTCAGGGTAAACTATAATTGTTTTTACATAACAGGACTGTTTCTATTGTTTTTCAAGTTTCTGAATAGCTGCAATAAGACTGCGTCGCTTCAAGGGTTATGACGGCAATGAAAGAGCACTAATGAAAGGAATGCAAGCACTGTGCCGTTACATTTGTGCCCGTCTCTGACATTTAAAGATACAGGTTTAGATTCTGCAGAGGTTCTCCACAGCTGGTGGCCAAATAACTGAACTGAGAATTTCACCTTGTATGATGATGGCATCAGTTCTGTGTCACCTGTTGGAGGCCGTTTGCACAGGTCTGTCCTCGGCATGTGTTTACTAACATGTACAAGACCCAGCTGCAAAAGCTGATTCAAGGTTCAAAGGAGGTAGAGCTGCTTGAATAGAGATGACTAATCAGGTTATTATCATTAGGAACAACCTCAAAATTAGCACAAGCTTGACCATTGCACTGAAATTAATGGAGTCATAATGATTTGGTTAACTTCATTAAAGAACGTGTTCAGTTTTTCATTTTGACAGAGTGAGCCATCGCCTCATTGCAGGTGGATCTCTGTTGCTTTCTTCAGTGGGAATGTCAGCCGGGGGTTCCTGTTGGTGGCGACTGATGGAGCCACGATTCAGGTCCAACATTTCTTCCCCACAGACTACCTCCTCGACACTCATCCACCAATCTTCTGTGGATTTACTTGATTTATTGGGGTTTCCTTTGGGCACTAGATTATAAGTTATACTTTTTCCGAGACCCAGTTTTGTTGATAGAGGAGTTTTCTTTTTCAGCTTTATTTGTGTTTCCCAGGTAACTTAGATTCATTTTGTCCAGCCTTATTTCACTCAGACTTGGTAGGGTCCTTATCGAGACCCTGTTTGTTGATTTGGTGCCACCCGCTGCCTGTGCCCCTCTTGCTGTTTCTTCCTCAAGTTGTTTTGCTGATTTATAACCCCAAAATTACTTGCACTACCTTTAACAGCATTGGTGCTTTGTGTTGCTTCCCATTTTCCCCCTCAAGACACTCACTGGGTTGTAACAACATGCTATTTATTTGTGTGTGTGTTTATGTGTGTGCACACCAAACCCCATGCTGGCCTAAAGTCAGCGCCTCAATTGGGTCCAGCCAAAAAACCCTCTAAAGCTGAATTCACTTCTTCCTCTTCACTGAACCACCTGTTTTATGTTGTCAGTTACTTTTTATGTTCAGTCCCGATGGATTTTCTTCAACTCGCTGGCTCAGTGAAGGTGTTATTTTGATATATTTTGTTTTTATCTTTCAGTATTTTCTTGTTATTTTCTCTTGTCTCTGAAAAGTGCCACAGAAATAATGTTTACTCGCTCATTTTCTTACTTACTTTGAACGCCCACCACAAATGCAATCAAATATATATATTTCACTTTGAAATCTCATCTTGGTAACTTTTGTTTTGTTCCTTTTAGAAGAAAAGATCCAATGATTTTTCAGCCAGTAGACGAGGCCTTTCTTGACATTGTTCCTTCTCTCTGCAAATCTAAACGAGAACTTACTGCAAAAATTAGTTGAAACGTTTTCAAACAATCACTGCTGGTCGTTTTCATTTTCATTTTCACCACAAGGACATAGCCGACCTCAAAATAGAATGATTTATTCAAGGTTAAAGCTCTACTAAATCACTGGACAACCAGAACAGACATGAAGTGGGGAAAGCATAGATACAGGAGAATATTAGAGAAAAGCAGAAAACTTTGATGACCTTCGTCGTAATGGATGTACATTAGTCTCTGCGGGAACAAATGCAGCACATTTAACATACGAAGAAAAACCACGAGCAGTCGTTTGGACATGTTCAGCTTTACAATATCGTTCAGATGAACTTAAATGGCTTAAAAAGTGGAAACTACATCATTTATGCAGCTAAAAGAGATTGATTCAAAACTGTTTCATGAAAAAATCATATTTTCAGTCCATCTTCTCCTCCCAAATGTTATTTTAATTAATCAAAACCCTCAAGCACTCATTTTGGTCTGTGAAAAAGGCGACCAAAAAGCACTCAGGTTTCTTTTCCAGACACTTTGATGTTGTCTGAATAGATCCTTGTTGACCGCAAGTCTCCCTGGATCTACAATTCAAATGAGTGAAGCATTAGCAGATCATTTTGGTTCTGATTTTGATTCATTGAGTGGGGAAAAAAAGGACGGCATGAGGAGAGTGGAGAGCAGAGCTGACAGTGACAGACTGTATGCCCGTCACCTGAACAAGCCCTCCATCTAAAAGCTCCAAAAAAAGCAACACAGGTACCCTCCACCTTTCACAGTTTCGTTCGTCTGACAGCATCATTCAGAGGTGTTTCTCTGAGACCTGACAGCTGATCCTGTAAAACAACACCTGGGTAAATCTCGCGAAAGTGCGTGCGCCTACCTGTATGAATGTGCGTGCATTTTTCTACAGCTCTAAGGAGTGCAGATGTGTTATTGTGAAGGTGTGAATATTTATAGCTGAGACACAAAGGAAAGGTAAACAGAGTTCATGCTTCACCTGTGCTGACCCCTGTTCCAGTCGGCTCACCTCATCACACCTGGGAGAGGGAGGAAGTCATTACGCTGGGTGATGACTTAGTTTCACTGGAATTTGAGCAAACACATAATCACAACTGTGACTCTGTGTTATCCTGAGCTCACTTTGTTCACAGCTGGTCAAATGCTCTGAAAAACAATTACAGCAGCAACAAAAACATCCTGTTCTTTGCTCAGGCGTTGGCTTTGTCCCTATCTCCGACAACAGAAAGGTGTTTGCTCGCTGGCTCTGGTGACTTGGATGAAAAACATTACAGGATTGAAACTGAACAGTGAACAGACAGTAAAACACCACATCCATCAAAACTAAATACACTTTTACAATGTACTTTTGCCGATTTGAGACTTCAGCGTTGATCTTATTACATATTTTCATATTTAGTACAAAGCCTGAAAAAAAAGAAACTTGTGTTCTCATCCCCGTCTTTATGACAACTTAATATTTACAAGTTGGAATCTCATGAGTCAATTATCTGTTTCTGAAATGAACACAAAGCTGGAACCAGGAGGCGATTCGCTAACCTTTGCTTGATATTAACTAGCCTTTAAGCATGTAAGAGCTTTAAACAGAACCTGACTTGCAGTTTCCTCCGACATGATCTTCTTGTGTAAGGTTAACAGGGAGAAGACGAGGGGGAAAACACACTCTTAAAAAGCCGAACATTTGTACCGTCTCACAGAATAACAAATGCCTCAAGTGTCTGTATCTGAAAAGTGAAGTGGAGTTCAGGTCTTTCTCACTTGCGATTCACTCGACTGTATCTGTTGTCCGTTCAAAATTTCACATCCTTAAGCCATTTTCAAAAAGGTAAAATTTTCCCTTTTTTGTCATCAGATGTGTTCAGCTGTCCGTTTTCTGGCCGCTGTCTCTGGCAGCTCGATAGGTGAGGATGTATGCCAACACTGCTTGGCCATGGCGTCGAGACAGATCCCATGTTAAGCCAGGCACTGTTTGTGTCCGTCTGTATTATGAGGCTGTGGTTTACACATCAATTTTCTAATTAGTTTTATTCATTACTCTTTCCTAACTGTCTGCCAATCACAGTCTGTCCTCTCATTAGAGAACAGCCAGCTCTATTAAGACCTCCTCACAAAGAGCTGGAAAACTTTCAACTCTTTAATTTCTTCGAGTTCAATGAAAAGACGAAAATCTCGTTTTTCTGATCTTTAATTAAGAGAATCAGTTCAGCGCATTGTTGTTATTGTTGCCTTCTTCTGCAGCAACAAATTTGATCTCGGCGTTGGCAGTCCTTGAAGCCATGCTGCTATCTCTGACTTTGTGCTTGAACAGGAAGGGAAATGTTTTCCTGAAGGACTTTTGAAAGGTGGCTCCCATAAAACCATAAACGATGGGGTTGACTGAAGAGTTGGCGTAGGACATGCAGTTGGCCCACGTCTTGATCTTGTATGTGGCGTAGTTTGGCCGGTAGTTTGGATAGAAAGACTGGAAGAGTACAAAGATCTGGATGGGACCCCAGCAGATGGCGAAAAGGAGGACTATCACGACCACCATCTTGGACACTTTGCTCCTGATGCTTATAGTTCTCTCGGACAAGAGGTTGACCTGAAGAGAAGGAGATGAGCAGAGGGGGATTTTAATGATTTATGATTAGATCGAAAGTTAAGCTGGTGGCAAAGACTTCTGTTTGTAAAACCTCGGGACACTTCATGGGTTTGCGCAACAAAAACATGTCAGGGCCAGTGTTGCCAACTCCTCAGTAAGGAAAGTAGCTAGTGGCTGTCGTAAAAGTCGCTAAAAGTTGCTGGATGACGTCATCGCCTAATTTGCATAATTTCTCTGTCAAACCCACTGTCGCCACCGACCCCCGGCTACCCGTTGTGAAGAGTAACATCTATTCCTGTGTTTATTTTGGAGTCTCTAAACTCACTAGAAAAAGTCTCTAGATTTGGCGACTTTTCAGACCCCCCTATTTATTATTATTTTCAAAAAGGCGCCTAGTGATAAATCCAGCCACTTTCTCTAGCGAGTTTAGAGACTCCAACATAAACGCAGGAATAGATGTTACTCTTCACAACGGGTAGCCGGTGTGCATCAAAAACACAGACACAGTCACTATGTTGGCAACACTGGTCAGGGCTGTCAGTGTGATAAAATAGTCAAATATCAAATATGAATTCTGCAGTCATATCAGTGATAGCCTTTTTGTGAGACTCTAGCAAGGGGTCAGCTCTTGTGATTGTCCGTCAGGTGCGCTTTTGCTTGACCACGTCCTCAATTTTTGTGAAATGAAATTACCATATTAGTTTACTGAGGCCAAGGGTGCATGGATTAATGATCATAACGCAAGCCTAATGTGCTGGTATACTGTATTATTTTCAGCTTGAATGGCTCAGTACAGTTTAAACATAAGGGGTTCAAATAGGGCTGGGCGATATGGGAAAAAGTTTATCACGATATATTTTATTTCGTATCAGTCGATATCGATATATATCACAATATAAAAATGAAATTAAAGAGTGCTTATTGGTAGCATGTCGTTGTTGTAAGGCGTTGCGCTAGAGAAAACGAAGTAAATGGTCGTCTGTTTTTGGAGTTCAAATGCTATAGTTGCGTGTAGCTGCAGCCTGCTACTACACAGTTGTTTGCTATTTGGTTCTAATTCGGCACATGATTGCCTCAGTGCTAAGCGGACCCGCAGAAACTGCCCTTTTCATTGGCTATTCTTATAGTCTACCAAAACATGTCAGAATGCCGACTATCGAAAAGCATATTGACCATATTTTATATTGATATTGAGGGAAATGAATTTTCGAAATATATCGTTATCGTTTTATCGCCAAGCCCTAGGTTCAAATTAAGGTTCAAATTTTGGATAAATAGTGGCAGCCCTGAAAAATGTAGATGTAGCCCAAGAGGAGAGGGAACACAATTACGAAAGTCTGAGGTTAGACGGGGAAATAAAGAGTGAGAAAGTGTAAAATGTAAGTGCATGCCGCCATTTTCTCTTGATGTCATTAAATTCAACAACTGCCAAATTTGCAGCTTTCTGAGTTAATTCTGTGGAACGGCAGCTGTGTGTAAATAAAGTGAACAGAAAACTGCAGAGTTTCTGTAGGTTTGTGATAAAAAAATTCCTTTTTTACAGAATTATGAGGCAACTGATTACAGCTGCTTTAAAGAAAAGAGCTTCAAATGAGATTTTCAAAGAGAGGCGACTTCAAAAAAGTGAGGTACTGGGCAGAACAGGTGCGGTGGAGAGAAGTGAAGACCTTTTTAAGTTTTTAATTAGTGACAACCAGTTTAAAGAGCTTTAGAGAGGTCATTTAAATTGAAGCAGAAAAGCCTTTTATATACCTGATAGTTGTTGTCCACGGGCTCCACAGTCGGCTGGCCAACCCTTTTCACCATCAGCGTGTAGCAGAAGGAGATCGTGAGAACTGGTAGCAGGTAGGCGGCTATAAACTGGTAGAGGATGAAAGCCCTTTCGTGTGTCTTAGAAGGAAATCTCTCCATGCAGTACTGCCTCGGGCCGTACCAGTAACCCTCCTCTATACGCTGGTACATCAAAATGGGTGTAGAGAGGATGAAGGAGCCTGGACAGGATGAGGAGTATGAAGTAGTTTGCATAATCCACATAATCTCTGAAAAGTGATTTGAGATTGAGCGGGTCATACCTATCCAAATGCAGATACTGACAATCATGGCTACTCTTGGGGTGCGATGGCGGAGAGATTTAAGAGGGTAGACGGTGACGTAGCAGCGGTCTCCACTCATAGCCGTCAGAGTGATGCAGGTGGCTTGGACCGTCACCTGGGAAAGACAGTGGAAGAAACTGATGAAAGACTCATGGATCACACTTCCGAGAATATTCATCTTTGTCTTTTTGAAACTGCAAATTGCTTAAAATAACATTTATTCATATAAATTAAATGCTATTTCTTTCATACGTGCAACTGATGCAAAGTGTCAAAAACCTTGCTCCTTAAGAAGTTGGTTTTCCAGGAACTTTGCATCACCACCTAAAAGGTTTTGAGTCCTTTTAATTGCGACAGAATGACCCCCCACCCTCTTAATGGTGTCCTGTGGATCCAGCTTTTTAATCAACTGTCATTAAGGGAAGCACCGCAGAAGTTCAAGCTGCTGTTTCTTCCTCAGAAACTAGTTTTCTTTATTTTTTATTTCCTCTTACTTATCTGAGATTTTGCTAATGAGCTCTTGTGCTTTTCAAATGAAAAGCGAGCATGAAAAAAAACGATAGCTTAGGCGGAAAGTTGCAGGCAACAGGAAGACGAGAGGAAGCAGATGGAAGGCTGCATGAAAGATAAGTATTTTAATTAGAAGATGAACAAATCGTTCAATTTACTTCTTTTAATTAGGTTCAATGATGCTTGATTGAGTTGACTTCAGAGGAATGCTAACTATAGAAAATGAGGAGTCATGTTCCTCTGATATGATGAGGTTTTTTAGAGAGTCTGAATCATCCAAACGTCACATTTTTGAAGTTTCAGTCAGAGCGTTTGCAGCATAGAAAGCAGCTTTACTGACGTTTTTACACATACCTGTACACTGAATTCAGATAGAGCATCACAAGATATACAACCCCGACTCCAAAAAATGTTGGGATGCAGATTTTGATTGTTTGCAAACATGTAAACCCGACATTTAATCAAAAAATCGCATCAAGCAGTTATGCAGCTAATTCCACTACAGAGTTCACATTCCTCCAGTTAGGGCTGGGCGATATGGGAAAAAGTTTGTCACAATATATTTTTTTATTATCATCAGTCAATATCAGTATAGACCGGGTTTCTGTGCAACGTCAGGGGGCAGAAATCGGGACATTTGTTATTCATTTCCTAGTGGAGTCAATGGAGAAAGAAAATGACAAGAAGCTGTTGTAAATCGTCGTAAACATTTTTACTTTGACTGTGTTAGCATTCACTAACGTTACGACCCTGCTCCTGATGTTATAAACATCCAAAACAACGTCACAACCTGGTAAATTTAAGTGAAATTCATGGACATTTTTTAAAAATTTGTAATGCAATGAAAAACAAAGCGATTTTTCAATGAAATGACATTTTATTGCAATTGTGTCAGGGAGTAGTTGCAAACAATACGGCATCTTCATTGATATCAGTTCACTCCTAAGCAGGCTTTTGGTTGCAGCACCTAGTATTGTTTGTACACAAGAAACCCGTCTATTTATCACAATATAAAAAAAAAATCACTTTTAAAATTCACATTTAAGTCAATCTTAAATGTTCCCTACAGTTGCGTGTAGCTGCAGTCTGCTACTACGCAGCTGTTTGGTTCTTATTCAGCTCGATTGGTTCAGCGCAGTGCGGACCCGGAGAAACTCCCCTTTTCATTGGCTATTTGTATAGTCTACCTAAACATGGCAGAATGCCGGCTATCAAAACGCATATTGACCATGTTTCATATTGATACTGAGGGAAATTAATTTTCAATATGTCGTTATCATTTTATTGCCCAGCCCTACATCCAGTATGGATTCTTTCTATCTCCTCCATGTTTCCTAAACTTTTAAATAATATTTTTACTGTCTGAAATTGTTGATCTATTTGCTCACGCAGTTTCTCACAGAGCTGTAAACCTCTTCCTGTCTTTTCTTCTGAGATACCCACCCTCTCTGGAAAGCCTTTCCTACGCCCCTGTTGTACATTTACTTGTTGTCTCAACTCATGCAATTGAATATGAGCATATATATTTCATAAAGCATTTACAGATTCATTTAATGATTTGCAAACCATCTAAATACCTCATCAATATTTCACACTTTTTTGTAAACAGGGTTGTAAAATACGCCTTCTTTTTATTCTCTTCAAAGACTTAAAAGCTGGTTAATTTCAAACCAAATGCCCTCTGAGGGTTTCACACGCTGTCATTGGTGGATAAACTCATGTGTTTCCCTTTGAAATACGTGCAGCAGGGTTAGAAATGAGAGGTCAGAAGTTCTCTCTTTGCTCTTTTACAAATGGGATCTAATTTTGCCCCTCTTTTGTCCCTGTGTCTGCCTCTCTCCTTTTTTCTCTCCCCACCTCTTATGTGCAGCCGTGAATCCAGTGCCCATTACCCCTCCAGAGGTTTGGCGTGCCACATCAGTGTTTCAAAAGGTATGATGAGAAAGACTGAGAGGGGTCGTGATGAGTTCAGCGCCAAGACCACAAACACCATGGGCGCCACAATCCCTCAATTTTTAAGCAGCTGATGCACCAAGAACAGTGTTTCTTTTTTATCCATCGTGCATTATGTTTGCTTTTAAAGACAGGCAAAGAGACTATTTGAGGAGGTATCTAAATGAGATAAGACTGAATGAAGTTTGGTTTTATGTAACCAGCTTTCCTTAAAAAAATACTGGATATAATTTCAAAGGATTGGGCCTGAGAGTAAAAGACGGAGTGAATAACGCAATGCTTTAATGCTCTGGACAGCTACAAAGACGAACATTCATTTTTCATAGAACTTTCTCCATTGATTGGGTATAAAGCAGTAGCCACACGATGAACAAAATAAGGTGAAAGTGGTAAATATTGCATGTGAACAAAGCGAACAAATTTCAGTCCTCGTTTTTGAGTTGAAATGATGTTCAAAAGACGTCAGTTGCCAGACGTCTGTTGTTCATCACTCTGAATTTAACAACTAATCCAAAAAGCAGTTAAATGGTAATTAATGAATTCACAAACTGGATGAAGAATAGATCTTTTAATCAGGCATTTAAGAGGACAATTCCTTTAGGTGTCCAATAAAAAGAGCACAAGATGAATAGCACACCACATGGGTGAAAACAGATCCAAAAATAAAAGCCTGTTTGAAGCCAAGAGCTCGGCTTAATGATGTTGTGCAGACAACAAAAAGGCTGGCAGCGTTCGACATGACTGATGGATGGATGACGAGTTATCCATCACTTCACCCAGCGTGGAGGGGAGCTCTCTGTCAGAGAAAGAAGCAGCAGACAGATGTTTGAAAGGTTGTTTGGACACAATTTTCTGTATCTTCCTTTTTCATCCGTATCTTTTCCGACAGTGATTGTAGATTACTTTTCCACATACACGTATTCATTATAGAAGAAGAAGACATCAACACTTGGTTAGCTTTAGTTGTGCACAGGCCAGGATACATGGTTACTTTGAGTCCCAGCTGCAGTGTAGTTTTTTATGGCTTCATTTTGATTTTATATTTCAACAGGAGAGCTTTAGGGCGTCATAGTGGACAGTTTTCCCTGCATGACTTCATGAAACTGTGACTTTGCTGATTGAGTCATTTTACACAGTTTTAGTTTTTGTTGTTGTTCTCACTCCTTTACTGTGGGTCAGTGGGTTTATGGTTAGATGTTGTTTACTGTGTTAAATACTCATAATTTTCAACTCAGTTTTGCCTCAGCACGCTGGTAAATTTCTGGTCGTGACACTACTGAGAGGAACTTTTGCTTTGTGTGGATTTTGGCACCCCCTTGTGGACAAAGTTGATTGATGTTTCGAAGATGGAAGTAGGCTTTCTCAGCTGTGTGAAAAAATCAACCGTGATCCAAAAAAAAAAAAAAGTCACAATATCGCAGGACGGGAAAATGTCGCTGATGTGAACGCTTGTGTTGACGGGATACGTCCAAAATAATTGCATGAAAAAAAAAATGCTCCCGTTTTGAAAGGACCTTTAGTCTGACTGAAAATTGGCTTTTAAATACATGTAAGTACCAAATCAAACTTCTAATAGTTTGGGTGACTGGTAGTTCTGGGAGACAGCGCAGTAGTAATGAGCAAAAAAGATACTGGGTGTTACTTTTTCATCAAAAAGGTCGTGCATCTGAGAGCTAGTGCAACCAACTCTTCAGGTCTAATTGGACTCAGGTGCTGACGTGCAGTCCTGGAGGAATTACTCAGGGTGTCTAGAGGCAATTTATTTCCTCAATAGTATGATCAAAGCTGAAGCATAGGTAACAACATAACAGAAAAAACTAGACACTAAGTGCAGAGTGGTTCTCAGAGAGCTGGATCGAACACTTATTCAAAAGTCTGCAGAATGTAATTGGGTAACTCAGTCCATCCACCACTGGGGACTACAAAGAAGAGGAGTCTGCTTTAGTGTGTAGGCGTTCCTGAGGGCTGAGTCTTCAGCTTTTTCTATAAGGCGGAGAAGAAGTCTGGGGGCAGACTAAAGCTGGATAATACATTCTACCACCACTCACTTTCTGTTTCCCTTTGGTCATTTATATTGAACTGTTAGGACTTTTGGACACTTCAAAGATTAATGGTCCGTATTTCTTTAAAAAATGTGTAGGACTGAGGCAGAACGGGCAGTAAGGTCTTGGTATGATCATTAAAAACCTGTTGAACCTTCTCTTACACGTACAAAAACAAATACTGGCAGCACTCTCGTTACAAGAAACATGTTAAAGGTGCTTTCCCGAGGATAAAATGATCTATTGTTGCTTTTCCTGGGGTCATTATGGGTTCAAGCTGCAGTATTATAAAGCAGGCTTAAGTGCACACCATTACAGAGCAGTAGTTCTATCATAACAGCCTCCTTTTCCTCCTGCGTATAGGTAAACAAATGCAATGGGTACTGGTTCTTTGCATTAGCTGGCCCCAGGATGGAAACTAACCTCTTTAAAATAAGTTGACTTGGAGCAGCATGGAGGTCAAATGCCTCACTGACATGTCGGTCAAATGTTGGTCACAACTTTAAAGTACAAAACTGTACAAACTTGTAAGTTACTGCATCAATAAGAGAGACTTTTAGTGCATAAACACCAAAACACTGTGACAGCATGAACAATGCTCCCAGAGAGCTTTGTGTGACAGACGGCGTCTTTATTCATTTTCAAGATTAACATTTTGGCTCATCGAGTAATTGAGTCATTGTTACACAGAATACGAGCTCCAAGGATACTCGGCTCCAAGTATGGATGAATACATCTCTATCTCTATAATTAAAATGCTTTTAGCCAATCTGCCTGTAGCCTCTCTTTACAGCCCATCGCTTTGACTGACAGTTTTCTGTTTTATGCTCAAATTATCGGCTGCATCGAGTCGCCCCTCACATAAAAGATAATGTCATCTTTCTGAGTGATTCTGACAGATTGTCTCCTTTCAATTCAACCGCTACGCAAATATGGAATATTCATTCAATTTACCCCAAATTTAAGCCAAGCACTTTTCTCTCACAACCTTTTCACAGAAGATTTTGCATCACTTGACAGGATGCTTATTAAAGACTGTGGCAGCCCTTGCATTTCGTAGAGTCACAGTGACAGGCTAAGCTCCATAAATAAAACAGTCCGGGTGGTCATTGAGCAAATCCTGCAATTAATTGTGCATGGCGTACTGTAATTACAGTGAAGCACAGGAACATGACCCAGGTTGAGTTCAGAACCTCATGCCTACTCACTGACACAGGATGTTTGCAACTCCTCCACTCCCACTGTGTCCTGAGTGCTGAGCATCATGCAGCAAAAACTAACGGGTGAACAGAGCAGAGTATTTAGCAGCTTAAAGGGATATACCGGTGTGAAATTAAGTTAGGGTGAAACACACTGCAACACTGAGTTAGACACACCCTTGAGAGATTAATGTAAACCAAAACGCCACTCTATAGCCACAAATAATGCTCAGAACAGCACCTAACTTCATCAACAGGACATATAGGGTCCCAGCCACAGCACTAGCCACCAAACATCTTTTTAGCTTTGACTGATTTCTTTCGCAAAGAGACTAAACACAACTCAGCTACTCTCTTCCAGCAGCCGCTTGTTTATATGGAGACCTCAGGAGAGTCCATCGACTGCAGCGGGGTGACACAACTCAAGGAAGAACATTGATGATCGTTACTTTATCATTTCCTTGAAGTAATAATCACCATATTAATCATTTTACACTGCAGACGCAGTAGTTCGTCTACCTCAGCGCCTCAGTCTGATTGCATTTCAATAAGGAAATGATCATAAATGTTCTTCCTTGAGCTGTGTCACCCCGCTGTAGTGCGTAATGGACTGGCCTTAGGTCTCACTACAAACAAGCAGCTGCTGGAAGAGAGAAGGTGAGCTGTGTTTGGTCTCTTTGCTAAAGAAATTAGTCAAAGTTAAAAAGATGTTTGGTGGCTGGTTCTATGGCTAGGACCCTATATGTCCTGTTAATGAAGTTAGGTGCTGTTCTGAACATTATTTGTGGCTATAGAGTGGTGTTTTGGTTGAGCGTGTGGCTCCTGGACCGCTGTATATTGCTATCGTGCGGTCGTTACTAAAGTTGGTATAATTAGAGAAGCAAGCGGTCGGCAACATTCATCTCTTGATGGGGTGTCGAACTCGGCGTTACGGTGTGCTTGACCCTAACTTAATTTTACGCCGGAATATCCCTTTAAGAGCCAGACACTTTCAAAGAGGGTGACAGGGCCAAGAGAGCGGGGACAATGCCTCTGTGAAAGATAAAAATAGAGCTGGACTGAAGCTTTTTCAAGATAGTGCTGACTTTAAATTTGAAGGTCCTCCTTGAGTTGATTAAAAGATTGTTTCTGACACAGCTGAGTGATGAAATCAGGGTGTTTGGAGAGCTTATTATTCCTGCAGAATCCTCACAGTCACCAAAGCAATCAATCGAGGGTGTTTAATTGGAAAGAAAAATGGACGTTAGACAAAACCTTTGGCAAAAATATAACAATAAAGTACATATATAGAATGAAAGCAGCATGAGTCATGTGTTTACCTGCTGGAGAAAGGCGACAAACTTGCACATGAAGTTGCCAAAGATCCATCCAGGGAGCGGATAGAGGGTGGCAGTGAAGGGGACGCAGCACACCAGGAAGATGATGTCAGTGGCAGCGAGGTTTGCTGCACACAGAGAAAACAACAAGAGTGATGTTGAGTGCAGTCTGCAGCATAGCTCTCTACAGGTTACTTGGAATCAGTAAAAATGGATTTTAAGAGAGAAGTCTGACCACCATACACAGCAAGATCAATAATTACTTTTTCTTTTGGACAACGTCAATGCCATACAGAAATAATCCTCTGTTATTTTCAATTAAATATTTTTCTTTCACTTCAGGGAGAGAGCAGCCAGAGTGAAAAGGAAGCCAGGAAAGATTGGAGAAAGGGCCCTAATGCTACAGAGAGGGACTCATTTTGTTGCAGGAACATAATAACAGAGAAATAAGCCGTGTTCATGTGAAGAGAAAGGAGGAGAACCAGAGGGTTGTGTGTGAGAGAGAGCGAGAGAGAGAGAGAGCGAGAGGAGAAACAGCTGCTGCCTCTTCACCTCCCCTCAGAGCTCGAAAAGCTCGGCGAAACTCGTCTGAAAAAATCAATCTTTTTTAGGATGTGACAACACTTTGGTTAGAGTTTGGGTAGAAATGACTGTTTTTCAACTTTGCCATGTTTTCAATAGAAATATGTGGTCAAGGAAGGGAGGCAATGACAGTAATTATCCAAAATAAACAAGATCCTCAGTCATTATAAGTCTGACATTTCGTTGAACCGTAAACCAGGCTTCCTGTCGTCATTGGCTTTTGTTGCTCTGTAATTTCCTCTGTTGTTTTTTGTTTTATTATGCTACAGTAGCCTCACGCTGCTAATCCAGACAACCAGCCATACTCTTCACACATACCAGCAATTTAGAGTCACTAGTCAACCAGCGTGTATGTAGAGAGAGGGAGGAAGCTGGAGGAACCCATACATGCACAGGGAGAACATGCAAACCCAGACTTAAAGGTGGGGTAGTCAGGATTCTGTTAAAGAAGCACCTCAACTGTGGTTTATATACAAAAAAGCTTTTAATATCAGTCAATAGCTATTAGTTATTGATGACATCACAATATCATTGTGTTTTGTTATGTCTGTGTAGTCAACATTTTAAATTTTTTGCCATTCTCCGCCTCCCCCAACCTGATTGGTTGTGAGGTGGAAGCTGCTGAGGCGGATGAGCCCAAACAAAGTTAGCGAGCTACAATATCAGACAGTAGAAACCAACCAGAAAGTACGGAAAACTGTCTGAATCCTCCTTTGACCACGACTGCCAACACAAGCGGGGAAATGAAGTAAATACCGGAGACTCTGGTGGAATAACAAGCGCTTAAAACGGAGGTAGACCGGACAAGAGCTAAGAAGCTGTGTCAACATCAATGAAGCATAAACGATGGGGTACACTTCTGGATCTTACAGACCCTGCAACCTTTTAACCTCTTTAACAAAGTAAGACAAGTGTCTGTAACTGAAGTGTTTCTTGTCAAACGGACCTGCTGTAGCGTGTTGTAGCGCCATCGCTAAACTGTTGACCTCGGGTCCTGGACTATGTCACTTTATCCTCGTTGTAGAAGTCCTGCAAACATTGTGTTTGCTGGTAGTCTGTTGGCATCTACAGTAGCACCAATGCTTTCTACTTTCACCTTGACTGGGCCTCATTTGTAATTATCTGAAGTATTTATCTGCATTATATCTGAATTTAATCGAAACGATACGAGCGAGCAGGAGCGTCTGTTTGTGGGCGGGGCTTGCTGGAGCAGAGAGGGAGGGGAGAGGAGGAGCTGAGGGGAAAACTGGTTGGGAGGGGTAGAGTTTATAGTCAAGATTTCTCCCAAACACTGGCACTTCCTCAGATCCTGCTTACCCCAACTTTAAAGATCTGAACCAAAAACCCTTTCACTGTGAAGCATCAGCCATAACCACAGACTGTTTCATAATAAAGTTAAAAACTATAAACTCTTATCCAATCATCTAGAGTCTGCAGAGGTGAAAGCAGCACCTTCATAATCTCATGCAATCAAGTGCAATTCTCACTCTGCCATCCAGCTGAGTTTCTTGAAAACTTTCAGACTGAAGGCTTGTTTCTGTCTCCACTGCAGGAATAAATCTGTTTGTTTACGTTGGCCCTGACAAGCTTTTGAATAAGTGAGGTGAATCAAGTACGTCTGGTGTCGAGTTCTTCGAGATCACTTCAGAATTAGCGAGGTCAAACTTAATGGTTCTCTGCAGGCGCTTAATAGAAAATCAGGCTCTCTACTGTCCTTACAGCAGGTTCATGATGCACCTACACATGCAGACCCCTTAAAAATCATCTTCATTTAAATTCATATTGCATACCCGGTATCATCAAAGCACTGAGAGCAGGAGCTGCAGAGATAACCTCGGCTGTCTGATCATGCTCTCTTACTACTGTTCAGTCCTTCACAGTGACAAATACACTCAACACATTATCCTGTTTGTTTTACCAGCTGATCTAATCATATCACAGTGGCTGTTCTCCTCTGTCAAAAGGGTCAGCAGATGGTGCGGGCGCTGATCTCATGTGGCTGAATATCAAACTGCTTCAATGATGTAGCCGTGGGATATGAATTCTAGTCACACATAGATTACAAACAGGGAAAGAAATGGTCTCATTTACATATCTATTTATGAGACGAGCATTCTTCATGTTGTGCATTTTATTTTCCCAATCCTTATCTTATTAAAACACGACCCCCAGTCATCAATCACTGGCGAATCTTTTCAGACGACAGGTGACCACAGGGATCTCTGTAAGACGTGATGTAATCGACTTGAGCAGCAAAGATCAATCACCTCCGCTACGAGTTTGTGTGCACGGTGAAGCAGAGGGGACAGGAGGCAGGAGTATGATTGATGAACTCCTTCGGCTTTTCTCGTTTTACTTAGTACCCTTGAAATTCATGCAATCTCTGAGGCAATATCTACCGTGTTTGCGTGTTTTCAGACACCTGTTTTTAACGGCATGTTTGAGATTGATTTGCTGGAATGGAGAGTCGAATGAAAGCTTCTTATTATGTACCCATGAAAAGGAAATGAAAGAAAGTGCTGTAGGAACAACACATGGGAGTAAATGTAAAGACTGATCATTTCTATGTCATAGCTTTTAATCTCCAAGACCACTGCTTGAAACCTACAGCTGTATATAACCACCGTTTTGAAACCTTCTCCAGGGCAAAAGATCTCTAATAGTGCCACATGTGAAGGCCCAAAAAGCAGAATTTGTTTCTTTTGATGTTGGAAGATCAATTTTTTTAAAGTGGGGTTATATGAGACACTCGTCAATAGTAATCTTATTCACCACAGGGGATGCAGGTCGGCTTGGCCTCTTTGTTGAGAGGGGTCAGCTTGACCGCAAATTAAGCTTACTTTGAGGAAACTTCAACACAAGACTAATGTGTGCTCAGGTGTGTACTCTATTTGGGATTTTTTTTCAGCGATCCACATCCCCATCAGAAAGCCCATTAGTTTTTTGCACCGCCATATAAACATGTTTGTCCACCTGCAGCGCACTGATCAGCTCTTTGAGTCTGCAGGGATAATAACAGCCAAACCAAAAGATGAGCGTTTCTAACAGTCATGATGACATTTCATTAGCAGCTTTACAAATGGAGTATTTTTAAAGAAAGAACATGACTAAACAGACCACGAGTTGACAGCCAGACTTCAGCACGAGTTCAAAAGAGTTGGTACCCTAGGGTGACCGTACTCTGAATACCCAACAAGAGGACACAACTGTGTGGGGGCGGAGTCATGTTTTTGAGTCGTGTCGAGTGTTTTTTACGCGCTTCTAACTCAGTAAGTCCACGTGATACAAACTCAAAACTTCCGTACAAAAACCCAGGACATTTGAACGATTTTATAAACTGCCCTGGAGTTAGTTTGGTGTTTCACATTTACAAACAGCTAAACAACTGCGGTGTAAATGATCACAGATCACATAAAGTTTGTGCCAGTGGTTTTACCAACTGCTTGGCTAATTGGCTAGCCTGGCCGGGCCATCCTGTTGCGTGAATCACTTGATGTTCCTTCCCACCATAGTCTGGACTTCGGCCCATAGAGAGCGTGTATTCCCGATCAGAAAATAACCGGGCCAATCAGAGACCGTGTTTCCACTGTTCCCCGGATAACAGGGAAAGGCAGCCCCTGATTGGTCCATGTGTAGTGGTGACGTCTAACACATGGCAGAAAAATCGTTTATATCCGACGCCTTCTGAGTATATAAACGATTTTTCTGCTGACTTTGCAGAGTCAACTGTAGAATTAACGGCGTTCTGAATGAACGGGGCTTTGAAAAGTCCCACAGCATGTGTTAGACGTCACTACTACACATGGACCAATCAGGGGCTGCCTTTCCCTGTTGTTCGGGGAACGGTGGAAACACGGTCTCTGATTGGCCCGGTTATTTTCTGATCGGGAATACACGCTCTCTATGGGCCGAAGTCCAGACTGTGGTGGGAAGGAACGGCAAGTGATTCCCGCAACAGGATGGCCTGTCCAGGCTACTACTTGGCTGCTTTAATCTCTAGTTGGCGCTGTAGTCACATTGTCAATAGTCAGTACTGCAAAGAAGAGGGCTTACCTTTGCTCTGAAGTCTGACTAAAGATTTGTTTTAATTGAAAGAGAGAAAGAGGAATGCTTGAGCGGCTGCCATTGTTTACCTGAACCCTGATTTCAGCATCTTCTCTTACATAACCGCTATTTGAAAAAAAAGAAAATGGTAGTGATGAAACTCCTGGTCTGCTCTCAGCTCTAATACCTCTGCTGATGGGATTCAGTGAAGGCAGGTACTGTTATCAAAAAGCAGAGTGGCTCTCAGAGGTCAGCCAGCTGCTCAGTTTAGCAGAAAATAGTGAAGTTTAATATCAGTGGAAAAAAACAAAGCCAAGAAAAAAAACTAAAAACAGAGAATTTTATCTGTAAGCATGTTATGAAAAGAAACCTCCCTCTGCTATTATGTCCAACATACCTACACATAAACAAAGGAATATATATTGTTTACAACTCAGTTTGACATGATGCTAAAGATCACCTTGCGTACACTGTAATGGCATCACGGTTCAGCTCAGTCCTCACTCAACCTTTACCTACAACATATACAACACACGATACAAAGAGCACAATCGATATAAAAGGAATCTGGCAAAATCAATACAAATCTCTGGTCACCAGTGAGTATCAATCACGTTTGACTGCACACAAAAAGGACAGGAAATGTTATACAATGCTCTTTGTGTTGCACTCAACTCTGCAGTCTTACTGTAGTGCATAGGAGCACCCTTTAATTCCTATTTCTTTTGAAACTGAGTAAATAACGGCTGTTTTTCTAAATGAGACTTAATAGGCTGAGAAACTGCAGAAAATTCAAGCTTTGATCTCACTGATGTATGTTGTTTCCTTGATCTCGTTAGATAAACACCTCAGTATCATCTGCATAGAGGCGAGTATGTAAAAACAGCCATTCTAAAATAAAACTGACTGCTTTTAAAAATTGATTTTACACTCAGAAATCATTATAAAACCTTTTTAGGATGGTCCAGAATTTTTTCAGTTAAGGACATGTCAGCTTTTACTGTATGCGTCCTGCTGTTACAGAAAGAGCGTAGCGTGTAATCGACACAGAGACTCATACATATCTGACAGGTCATACAGAGTCTATCACACTGGTCTCCCTTGTGAGTTCCTTTTGAACTCACTGTTGGCATGCAACGAAATGCTTCTCAAAGATGAAAGAGACATACATCAAAGATCCACACAATGCATTTGAAGTTGATGCATAGTTCATGGATATATCCAAGAGCACTGGTTTCCATCGTGCTTCAGTCTATTCCTGCATCATAGCCATGAAAACGCTTCATTCACAAACTTTCACACTCACCTATGTAGAAGTTAGTGGCCGTCCTCATCTGCCTGTGTTTGGAGATGACATAAATAACCAGAGAGTTTCCCACCAAGCCGACCAGCATGATGAGCGCGAAGAAGAGGGGGACGAGCCAGGCGTCTGTAAGGAAAGGGTGCTGTTCTTCCTCCTCTTCTTCCTCATCTCTGCGTTTTCCCAGAGAAAAGTTTGCCTCAGAGCTGTTGATCCAAACCTGCTCAGTGGAGTTCCAGAGCTCGTCGGAGGAATACATGGTGACGGGACAGGGAGGAAAAGGGGGAAAAGGTACCGCTGGGCTCTGGCTGATGGAGGGATTGAAGGAACTGGGGCGAAAGTCAAAAATTTAAAGGTATAACAAAAAAGTGCAGGGATGATTTTGTAGAGGTGTTAGGAGGAGAGCTTGACAAGGACAACAGGATGAATGTCTGAGGAAAAGAAAACACAGGAACTGAAAACAAAAGTTTGGAAGGGAGATGAAGTGGAGGAGGATCGAAAGAGACCTTGACAAGGGTGACAGACAAGATGATGAAGAGACCCCTCAAACCGCAGAGGCGTTCATTTAATCACAGCTCCAAAAAGATTTCTTCATGTGAAGAAGACACCAGAGAATAGAGGACAAAGAAGATCAGGCTGGAGAAAAATTGCATCTCTGCTGCAAACACATCGACCCTCAGAGCTTTATAGCGTGTATTCTTAGAGCAGACAGTTATCAAATACCCAAAGGTAAAGCATCCACTGACTTGCAGCTTCTTTTCCTTCCAGTTTGTCTCCAGCTCTCTGTCTCCTTTGTTCCTGAAGCTTCAGTATGCTTCCCTCTGTGCCTTTAGCCTTCCACTGAGTCACTTGGTTCAAAAGAAGACACAGACTTAAGTAGGAGTTAAGATTTGCCCTACAACCTCAACAAATGCCCGCCAAAACGCTCTGTGTAACAAAAAGGAACAAAACCCTCAAGCGTTATCCATTGTTGCGTCCTGTGAGCAATGCTGTGCTGACTGCAAAATAACACTTCAGTGGAGAAACAGCCTTGACACCACTCGAGCAGAGAGCGAAGGAGATGCAGGCGGATTTATAGTACGAGAGAGCGAGGACACACAGACGCAGTGGAGAGAAAACACACACACACACGCACACACACACACAGGGAGTCTGAATGCACGTGGGTTTCTGCAGGATAGATATCTGGTGTCAGGGTCTCCTAGCAACATTATCCCTAAATCCGCCTTTTCATGATAATATTCAATCATAAGTCCCTCTCGTTTAAGTCTCCTCTATGGACATTAATAAAGTAGATTCTACAGTGAGGATCTCATACCGCCACACAAAAGCGAGTGTAGACAGAAGAGATGAGTAAAATTATAGCCGTTTCACTGCATGGGTTACATTTCAATCATTAAATTGATCTGATTTTGTCCTTAAAATGCAGATCACATCTACATTTACCCACAGATGGTATTCTTTGTCATGAGATTTATCAACGAGAAAGTGCCTGGCAAACAGTGTAGTGTTTATTTAAGCCTCTACTTAGCTTTAAATTGTTTATTTTAGTCAGATATTTATTTTTTAAAGCCTAAGTCTGGTTTTCTTTGGTAACAACTCAATATACTTTTAAAAAATCATGACATTTTGGTCATTGCTTTTAAAGCTCCAGTGAGGGATTTTTTTTTTTCGTCAACATGGCGCCCCCTGCAGACAAAGTAGCCTTATAGCATCTTGTGCACCAAATGCTTAAATTGTGACAAAAATCTCATGCTACTGACTTCTGACTGTCAAAGGTAACATTTACTGTGAATATTTTATACATGGAAAATCACTGCATAAAAATCTCGAGTCTCGTCACTCATGGTCATGTTTGTTTTTGTTTGTCATAAAATGTCCCCACCCTGCGTCACCCCACAGCAGTCCGTAATGGACTCGCCAGGATGATCAAATAGTTTTCTCTGCCTTAGCGTCTCGGTCTGATTGTATTTCCACGAAAAAATGATCATAAATGTTCTTCCTTGAGCTGCGTCACCCCGCTGTAGTCCGTAATGGACTGGCCTGAGGTCTTGCTACAAAAAAGTGGCTGCTGGAAGAGAGTAGGTGAGTTGTGTTTAGTCTCTTTGCTAAAGAAATCAGGCAAAGTTAAAAAGATGTTTGGTGGCTAGTGCTGTGGCTGGGACCGTATATGTCCTGTTGATGAAGTTAGGTGCTGTTCTGAGCATTATTTGTGGCTATAGAGTGGCGTTTGGGTTGAGGTTTGTTTATGGCTCCTCAGACTGCTGTTTATTGCTATCCTGCGGTCGTTACTAAAGTTGGTTAAACTAGAGAAGCAAGTGGTCGAAAACATTCATCTCTCGAGGGGATGTCTAACTCGGTGTTACGGTGTGTTTGACCCTAAATTAATTTTACGCCAGAATATCCCTTTAATGAAAATGTTTCCACTCTTGAAAGAAGGGCTATTATTCATTTCTTAAAACTCTATAATTCCTGATTTCCTTTTTAATAGCTTTACATGATTGTGACAGATTTGCACATACTTAAGGAGAAATAAGGGTTTTGAGCACCAGATGGTTTGCTAATAGCATTTTAGTCTTTTATCACCAACTAAAAAGTGAACAGGAGTTTTATGTAAAATCTTTACTTGTCATTATTTCATCTGCGCCAAGACATAAGAAGCAATTGACAAATATCTAGCATAAATAATCAACGAAATGAATATTGCAACAGCGACTTCCTTTCAACAGGTCAAGACATCGAATGAAATCAGACACATTGAAAGACAGCCTTCTGTTCAAGCTTGATTAACCAAGAAACTAGAATAATGGAGGGATCAGAAATAGAGAAATAGACTGAGCAAAGCCAAAAGGCATTAATGTGGCTCCAGATAACAACATGCTGCTTGTTAGTTTTGGCCCAGGCCTCATATGTGGTAGGATTGTTTGATTATATTTGGCTTGGAAGGATTTTTTTCTGTCTTTTTTACTCAGGGAATGACAAGAAAAAAAAAAATTATGCAATAATGAATAAAACCTTCAAGTGATTTCCGCCTAAATAACTGAATCATCTATTTCTTGTGCACACAACACTAGCCCAGCGTTGAACCTCCAGATGCAAGTGCCGCTGCCTGAAACCAAAACAACAATCAACTTACAGGACGCTTAAACCAAGCTAGAGGGAAGGAGGCGGTTTCATACCAGCCCACCTGACGCAAAGCTGAGTGGGAAAGGCAGGAGACATTTTATATCTGAGACGACTGACGTCCACTCGCTGAATTATAAATGGACCCTCGGGCAGGCAGGCAGGCACCTCGACAAGCCTGGATGGACAGACGCAGTCCACATTTTCTCAGCTGCTGGATGGGGTTACTTGGTTGTGTCAGCCTTCCGCTCAAATCCCAACATCCCGCAAGGTTTTAAAAAACCCAGCAGATTGTTTTCACAGCGTTTTCAGCAGAACAAAAACTCAAATATTCACGAACACAATCATTGTTGGATATTTTGGACGAGCAGGAAAATAAACAAAGGGATACATTTATAAAGCAGACCAGACTTTAAATAATCCTGATAAAACTGTTTGGTTGTCTCTTCACCCATAAATGTCTGCCTCATTACTTTACAGAAAATGTAGTTTTTTTATTTCCTTGAATTAATTTTGTTGCCCTCAGGACTCATACGTAAATGTCTCACCGCATGGAAGAAGCTCATTTTTGGCCAGTATAGGGCTGTACGTACCTGTCACAACGGTGTCTCCTAGCCCGAAGCGGAGATTTATTAATCATGGCTGCTGCATACTGGCTTGGTACGAAGTTATTCTGAGAGATACACAGAACTGTACCTCAGGAGGTATATCTACAGCAGCCATACCTGAGACCACATTCAGAGTGGAAAAGGAGTGATTTTATTACTATGACACTTGGAAGAGTTTCCAGATATATGAGAAATCTGTAAGAGTCACCGACAATTTCCACCGCATCATAGCTGATCATAACCATTCAAGTCAATGGGCTCTATTTTCGTGTACGCCGGTGAAGCGACGGAGGGTGGCGGACCCCGCGCAGTTGTATTTTCGTCTGGCGGAGCCCGGCGTACAGCCAGTTTGGTATTTTCGTGGACTGAGGCGCACGGAGGCAAACCACTGGAGCATGCCAGAAAAAATTAGCACAGATTAACCCGTGCTGGAAAGGAAGTCATGCACAGACACAAAATAAAACATCCGGCTTCTTTTCAAAATAAAACACTCGTGTTTCAGGTGGATCGTATTTCACACCATGCAAACAGGCGGAGATGAACAAGTGAAAGGTTTCTAGACCACATTTTATCCCGATGATACCATGGATGAGGAGCTGCTGATTTTATAAGTCTAGAAGTAGATTTCCTTCTCTGGAAGGACACAATCTACTGCTTATATGGTTAGCCTATGTGGCTAAAGACAACATGTTTTTGCACGATTGCATGTGAATTCACGGGTTCTCATGAGTTCTTGTGATTCCCGCTGTCCGTATCTGCCATGAAATTCATCTCACAAACGGATCCGGTAGGAATCGGCCGTTCCAGATTGGAGCCATTCCAGATGCGGTGGAAAGCCTGGGTAAGCTTAAAATGTGTTTTATTTGGGGTTGGCGTAGCTGAGCTGAGCAGCTCTTGTCTCTTTACAGTTTTAGTGGTAACCACCATTCCCTCCATTCATAAGTCTTAAAAACATACACTTTGGTACTCTATTCTGGAGTTGTAGGACTTCTTTTAAGCACTTTGAATGACCTTGTTGCTGAAATTTAATTAATAGACCGATTTATTCAATAAAACATTCCTGCCAACATAAGAAATAATGCAGACACTGACTTTGCTCTTCCTCTTGAAAATCAATTAAATTTAATTCTTTAAACCTAAGATGTTAATATTTATATTTCAGTCCAAATATTTGACATTATGCAAATAAACTCTTTCTTGTCTCTTTCTCATGATGGTTAGAAAAGTAAGAGTTTATATCATGGAAGCACAATTACAACGTTAATGCAAATCTGAGATGATGATGCTCCATCTAAGTGGAACCACACTTATATATGCAAACATATATGATGCAATGCTGCTGATTTGCATATCATGAAAGAGTGTACCAGTGACCCTTCATCTTTCCATGGGTGACCTCTTTTCAGGTCATCTCTTTATCAATTTTTCATGTATGGATTTTCATAATTTATGTTACAATCGAGCCTTATAAATAGTTAATGGTCTAGTTTGATGGGCGATATATGTTTTCCTACTTTCACTCAGATAGAGCTTTTAAATTACGACAACACAACACAGTCAAGAAGCAATAACATGCACTCTGAAGCATATAGTCATGCCACTTTTGGCTCTGAACATCAGTTGAATCTTAATCAGGGGGCTCCTGGTGTTTCTCTGTCCCAGACCCATCATGACTGCTTCAATATCCCACCAAAGAGCTCCTCTCCGGCTGTGAAAGTTTGCCTCATTTATCTGCCTTCATCCCCTCTCTCGACTACTTATTCTCCTTCCAGCCGATCCTCTCTACCCCACTGTCTTTGTTTACAAATTCACCCCGCATTTCAGCCTCTGTGTCTTCCGTCGATGGATCTTAAAGTTCAGGTGCTCAGTCCTCAGAATGCCAAATAGTGTCTTAAGCTGTCCCGCCAGAGAGCCTTCGTGAACACATGAATCGATTCCCCTCAGTCTGGTTCTGAATTATTTCTGGACACGTCAGAAGTTTAAATCCTGTATAATGTGATATGTTCAATATTTCAACTTCTTTGCTCATTTCATAAATGCTTTGAACAGCTGCAGGATTGATTTTGTGAACCTTACATTCATAGCTCCTGTAACAGTATCCGCTACAGTATTTACTACAACCGAACCAGTTTTTTCACAGCTTAGGTGCGATTTTATGGTTTTGGTTTAACGTAGGTGAAAAGTAATAATCTTGTTTGATAACTTCTACTACATAAAGTAGGGTGACCATATTCTGAATTCCCAAAAACAGGACACGACTATGCGGGGGCAGAGTCACAGAGTTGCACAAAGTTAATTTTGAGAGTTTTTCGGGTTGGATCGAGTGTC